GCTTGCCATATAATAAATAACATTATATCAGTGATTACACGTCATAGATAACATTTATCCTTGAAACTTACCAACTGTTAACTAGCTGACAACATTCATTCGAAAATAATCCACCTTCATCCAATCTCGGTGCAGGTTCATGAACAACTTGTTTCAATTGTTCAAATGGTGTTCGCCATTGGGAGTATGGAAACTTTCCTGTACCCAACTCAATCTACAAAATATCACAACTGGTTGTTTAAGGTTGGATTAGCGCAAATTTAGCCCACTGTTTTAGGTTTGGGCATGGATAATAAAATAAATTTATTTTATTATCCATGGTTGGGTATATTTACACTTCTGTTTATTTCAAAACTTTAGAAGAATAAAATTTCTATTGATCCAGACATGATTTGCGGAAAACCATCTTAATGTTTCTAATCAGGCTGTTGGGAAGATTGCTTTGAGGTTGTACTAAGATTAAGCTAACCGAGATCTCCCTTGTTTCCAGGCATTCACTGTATATCTTACCACAGTAATGCCTAAACTCCAGACGTCTGATCTAATGTCATAACCCGGTGCATCTTTTAAAGGATTAATCCTCTCAGGCTGTAGAAAGAACAAGACACCAATATAATTAGCAAAATTTAAGCTATCCAAGTTTCTGTGATCACAGTAGAATTTTTGCATTGCTAAAGTTTTGAAGGATTTGTAAGAAATGTTTGAGAAAACTGACTTAGTGTTAAACACTGATTCACGTCCCTCAAACATTTCTTACAAATCCTTCAAAACTTTAATTACCTGTGCAAAATTCCTACTGTGATCACAGAAACTTAGATGGTGTAAACCAGGGGCCGGTTGTATAAAAAAGTGATTAAAGTTAACTATAATTAAGTGGAAACGTCGTCCAATAAGAAGCGCCTATTTGAAGGTTAATCACTATTTAACTACAAAATAGTGATTAAAAAAGTGATTAAGAGTTTTATACAACCAGCCCCAGGCTTAACAGTGCATACTACATAGTGCTGAAATGTTGAATTATCCATGACATGTCATACATGTACTGTACATACCGCCATATATGGTTTACATCCAGCATCCATTGTCTTTGCTAATGAATTGACTAACTGGCCACTGATACCAAAGTCACATAATTTGAACTCCCCAGCGTCATTAATAAGAATATTGGAGGGTTTCACATCTGTAATAGATAGTACAAAAAAAACTCAATTTATTACTTCCGATAAATTTTTATTGTTGTTAGACTCAATATTATTTTTTACCTCGATGGATTATTTTCAATGTATGCAAATGATCCAATGCTTCTACAACCTAAAATAACCATCAAACATGTTTCAAATTTATTAATCCCAACAAACAATTTCATGATTTTTAACAAGTTCATCCTATTAGTTTAGTTTACTGAGTTTCTAACTCATTGGTGAGCGGATCCAACAGGATCCAACGAAATCTGCTGTGTTGGTGCAATGTACTCAGGTGAATAAGATGTTTGTGTGATGTTACTCTGAGTGTATATCCACACCGGGCAGGCTTAACGAAAAATATGCCTGGCCACGGCGGAATTCGAACCTACGACCTTTGGAATACTAGCCCAATGCTCTTCCAACTGAGCTACGCGGTCAGGACGGTTCGAGTATGCGAAATTTCGGAACTGAGTCTAGTTCCTTTGATATCAGTGTAATCTAATAATAATCATGAAATCTGCTGTGTTGATCCCATTGATCGGGGATCCAAGGTAACTATGATTTAACGTCCTTATCCGAGAAGACGCCAAAGTCTAACAATTTACTGATGTCAAATTATGAAAAGGTAGCTCTTCTCATCAATTATTTTAAGAGCTTGAGAAGAGGTCCGAGCAAGTATTTAACTAGGGTCTCCCAGCTTGAAAGGCAAGCGTTCTGACCACAAAACCATATGACTGGTTTAATCCAAATTGTGGCATTTTCCAAAACTTACAGCTCTTGTTAGCTTTCCCAATACATTCTCTGGTATTCTTCTATCAGGAACACTGTAGACACATCTGTACAACTTATCCAAAGATGCCCTCATTAATTCCATACAAATCCATACATCACCCTATACAACAGAACAGTGCAAATCCTTGAAATAAATTTTGTGCAAGTTGGGGGAGCTTTTAACCACATCAGGAATGATGCTGCAGGGAGAAATTTTGCCAAGTCATTAAGTGAAACATATTGATAAAACATATGCCAACTTTGTTGTAGAATGCAGGGCAGAAAAGGAAGCTGGAAGCACAAACTGGAGACAAAAATTTCCTGCAGACCAACAGAGTATTTTGTGCTAAATCTGCATGTACTAATATACATATAGTGTTCCAGCCGACCATGGTTTTAAATTCAAGGAATAATGTCTGTCAACCATCTGTTGTTGTGCCCATAGTGGGACATGGGTGTTAAGGTTTCCTTCAAATTTTTCAATAGCAAATGTTCATTCAAACAAATTTTCTGGAGCTGTTTAACATTTGGTGCGAGCAGTGCTCGCCTACTTTTTTCCACCCCTGCTAAAATGTATGACCATGTATGCCATTGCTAAAGAATTTTCTACCCTTGTAATTAAGCCAACTTTGTAGGTGTAAATTGGTGATATTAGAATTTTCTTACATTTCTGTTCAGTTTAAGAACAATAAAACTATGAAACTGACTTTGATAACTAACCTCTCTGAATACAGCACCATAAAAGTGCACAGTAAACGGACATTCAGTGACTCTCATTGAGACATCAAGATCCATTAACGCTCTCTTTTGTTCCTTGTCGTTAAATGAATACGTTATTCTCTACAGTATTCAAAAGAAAAGTATTAATCTTGAAATGTTCTGTGCCATTGTAGGTAGCGCCAATAATAAGAAAGTTATAGATTGATAATGATGCAACAGAATACAAGAAAAACTTTAATGCTTTTAATATTAAAGACGGTTTTAGACAATCGAAAATATAGCTATAATCTACCGATTCCAATCTACTAATAAGGCAAAAATCGGCCTATTGGTCAATCACTAAAGTCCTTGTTGTAATGTTGAGGTTGTTATATCAATCTGCGGCTAATTTCTAGAGAAGAGTATTAAGTATTAACTATTATAAAATACAATAAACAGCACAAACACCTAACTAAAGAAAATCTACAAGAGGCAAACCTTGACTGCCATCATAGTTTCAGTTGATTCCAACATCATCTTTTGTACGACACCATATGCACCACGACCTAACTCTCCCAGATCCTTCAAGTCCTCTGCTTTACAGTCATATTCCTAATTCCATTCAAAATACCATAATGCAGTTAGAAATATGGCAAAAGGATTTTGTAGATGGAAGTTTAGCGTGTGAATTTTATACATTTATTCAACCTAACCAGAAGCGGTTGTGGAAAATGCAAGTACAGGCTCGAACCTGCAGCCCTCAGCCTGGTAGAAGGTAGCCTGTGCACCAGGCTCGAACCTGCAGCCCTCAGCCTGGTAGAAGGTAGCCTGTGCACCAGGCTCTATGCTTGAAATAAAGCCTGCTACGCAAGTCAATCGTATGAAAAATTCAGATTGGTCAGAAATAAATAATCTTGCCTTTTGAGATAATATCAATTGTAATTATGGTTTTGTCTGGATTTTTTGCTGTCTATAAACATGATTAATAACTGTTAGGAATCTTTAGTATGTAATTCCTGGCTGTTAAAAATTAGCAGAAAAACTGGCTGTTCTTGTCATATCTAAATTAGCTTTGATAATCTAATTAACAATCGCTGTTTTGATTGGTTGTTATTTTACGTGCATCCAAATCACTGTCTACTTTTTATTGACTTCAGTAGCGGGCTGTATTTCAAGCGTAGAGCGTGACACCCAGGCTAGGCAGAGTGCTGCACCAGAATCACAGGGCTGCAGGTTTGATTCTTGCCAGAGGATCTACTGTCGCATTATATAGCTGCAATACCTTCCCATTTATAGTCAGAGTCGTTCTATCTGTCAAATTTCGTGGAGTTCTAAAAGAAAAAAATAAACATTGAGAACTGTCATGTAGTGAAACATTATATGTTATCAAATGCCTGGATATCTCCAGTTCATTTTAAACTGCAGATTAGACAGGGCAAACTGGAAAACAGTTTCAAGCAGCATTTTGTCTCATACGTGCAAGAAACTTATGTTTTGTCATATGTGTTGACAATTCACAAAAATTTTTAATCCAATCTTTCCTCTGCAATCTGATGTCTGCCTTGACAAAACAGTTGCTTGTTTAAGCTAGCAATTAACAGAAGTAAAACTTAATCTATCCCCAACATCTAGAATGTCAAAATTCCTATATAGAGAATGATGAACTATTTTGAAACCACAGAATACTTACATTGGTGATACAGACTTAGCCGGAGGGTTTTGTGAAAAGTCAAACTTTGGTCGTGGTCCTTTTGGCTTTTTCCCTAAAACACAATTAAAAAACAATCACAAGAATTCACAAACTATACATATGTTGCATGTAAAGCCATCCTGGGCCCAGATGAGAAATATATAATGAGAACTTTTGTTTGAATGAGAACAATGAGATCTTCGACGTTTCACGCAGAGACCCCCGTCTTCCTGACGAACAGCCTTTGCACAAAACGTTGAAGTTCTCCTTGTATTTTTCAGGTAGTTGTATCCCTATCAATCTAAGGTATTCTGAGATGAAATTTTGGCTAATATTTAGCACAGGCATGTTCCAATTTTCTTGACGTTGGATGCATCACTTTACTATAATTTCTATTACGAGATTTTACCAAAGGGCTGGGGCAAGTGGCTGTCCCTGAAAATGACCAAAAATGGGGTTAATCACTGGTGTTTTACAAACTTTCCAATCAGACATTCAATTTCACTTTCAACAGAACAAAACATATTTAATGACCACCAAGAGATATTTACACCCAACAGTGGAATAAATCACTACAGTTGTGGTTTGGTTTATAAATGAAAACAGGTTACTATTAAAATTATTCTGTGTCATATAACAATATATTTTGATAATAGTTCACTTACTGCCATCTCCGCCGTGTCTTTTTCCCCCAGACATATTTAAACCTTTCTCTGTCTTACAAGATAGTCAGGAAATTCTGCGGACTACAGCAAAAATATCCAAAATGTCGTGGGACTTTCCCCTCCAGGATGGGTCGGGATTTCGACTGATTTTCGGCGGTTTGAACAGCTTAAAACAACCAAATGAACGGCTACAAAGACAAACGAGGTGATGAATAATTCCTCGTGTCTTTCCACGGAAGAAGATCAGTGATATTTAAAAGAAATTTCATCTAAAAACTTCGCGTTAGTTGCCCAAACGAAAGTCGAAAGTGTACCAACGAACAGCAAACGAAGCAAAAATTATGCTCATGGTAATAACCGCTGCTTGTAGTAATGGCTGGCGCAGTTACGCACAGACCAGTGATACGAACAGACAAACAGACAAATGCTTATAGTAATTAATAATTATTGCTTAATATAGTAATAACCCCAATTATAGACGTTTTTTGTGAATTTCAATTTTATTATAAAGCTATAGAAACACAATCTACACAAGCAATGGAATTTGTTGCAGGGCGTGACAATGTCTCGTGGAATTCTGCATGAAACAAACTGTCACTGCGTCACCTATTGATTGGTCAATAAATTGAATGGGTTCCGTCACCATTGTTTCAACAACAGGCAAACAAACTATTTAAATATAACTAATGGTAACAAATATGAAAGGTTTTAGACTTATGAATATAAACTAACTTTCCACTAAACTAACTTTCCACACTTCCAAGTTAATCTTGGGATGACTTGTGAGTATCAACGAAACAATAACTTTGGTACACAATTTAGAATTATTTTTAATTCGGTTGCATTTTCGGTTTATTTGCGCAAGTACGCGAAGATTTGCGGAAATGGAGCGGAAATGGTTATGACGAAATGCCGTTTTACTACGCATGCACACTCCACACGTTTCTCGTCCATCACGTGACTTCCGCGTGGGATTTTTGCGAGAACCTACTGGGGAGGGGTAAGAGTGCAAATAGTATATCTATTAATTTTTATATTGTAGTTGGTTTAGATTTTATAATTCAATTCTTATCTAGAGAATCTATAGAATTATTTTTTATATTTTAGGAAATATTTTACGTAAAGCGCTGCTGTATTTCTCTCAGGACAGAGTTATTTTTGTCATCAGGGTACCCCACCCTGGGTATTTTTGTCGTGTCCATAAAAAGCGTGGAAAGGCGTTGGTTAGCAATTTCAAGCGTTTCCTTTTCCTGGCGAGCTTGGCATCATAACCACTGATTCACGCTTCGATTTCGTCTGTATCTCGCATTGTCTTTGTTGTGTGAACTGCCAACGTAGCACATCTATCCTTCGTGGATTTACAATAGTCTTCGCAAAGGTATGTTGTGTTTTATTTGCTTTCTACGAGCTTATTTTAACCACATTTTATATGTAAGCATTTTGTAACGCGAGTGTATTCGTCACCGACACAAGAACGTCTTGTCTGAATCAAAAATGACAGAATTCGTCCGACTACAACGAGACATGATCATTTAAAGCTTAGTTTCTAGCTTTTTGATGTATTATATGACAAGAATAGTGATACACCAAGCAAAACCACCGTACTAAACTTGTTCGATGGGTGGTTGGTATTAATAACTATGTCTGCAGGAATTTTATATTCGATAATATTTCTGCTTCCTGGGTCGTCGTTATGTGCTTTCCAGCAGTTAACTGTTTCGATTTATATTAGCAGTTTATTTCTCTCTTTCTTTTCGACAGGCAGAAATGGTTTAAAAACTCTGCAATTGAATCATTTTGAAAAAGTGCTGTAAATTCAAAAGCTACTTTTGTACTACCGTATTCGTCTTGGGTCCTGCTAGCTTGTATTCTCGAATTCACTCGAGTCCGAGTCGAAATATCAGTTTGCTTGCATTTATAATGCTTCCTGTCTTTATTTAAAGCGAAATATTTCGAAATAAGACAAGGTATTTACGGCTTTTGAACAAGAATAAATGAAAGTTATAATTATTCAATTGAGATGTAGTTTTTATACTCTGGGCACTGTATAAAGCCGTTTATTCGTATGATTTCATTAACAACCTGTTGAATAAATGAAGCAGACCCGGTCCCACCTTTTCCTGTTGCATAAAGATCGATTTTACAGTTGCTTCAGCAGTGCTAAAAGCGAATTACTTACAGCCACGTTTTGTATCGAATTTTTGATAGCTTTAGCATAATTTAACAACAATAGCTTGATATGAAATCTGTATGCAGAGGTAATTCACAGATACGCTTGCCTAAACTACCCAACAGATTCATTTTATACCTAGTTTCCCCTACGCCTGTTTGTTTCTGTAGCAGTGTGTAAGCTGATATGCCTTGTTTTGGCGTGTTTAGTCTCGTACATTGCTGAAACTATATTACTAAATGATAAGACAAAGCACCCAAACATTTGAAACAACATGAACTATTTTCAAGGAAGTACTGTGGTGTTAATCGGTATCTTTTGTAAAATTCTTATTATGATTCGTCAGAATATTGGAACAGTTTATTTTCAAACAATCACTTGTACATTTTGTTATATCGAGTAGAAATACAAAATTTAAATCGAGGTTTAAATAATTTTGTAATTGAGGGCAACTTTTATATAACTTCCCCTAGTTGGGGGGGAAGTAACAAGGGGGAATTTCGTTCTCGACCAATCCGCGCTTTTGTTTACATTTTTGCCCTAAGCAATCAGAATGCGTAAAACGCTTCATCACATGAAATTTGTAAATTATATCAGTGTAATCTAATATTTATGAAATCTGCTGTGTTGGTGTAATGTACTCAGGTGAATAAGATGTTTGTGTGATGTTACTCTGAGTGTATATCCACACCGGGCAGGCTTGAAAAATATGCCTGGCCACGGCGGGATTCGAACCTACGACCTTTCCAATACTAGCCCAATGCTCTTCCAATGTTGGATTGCATTATATAATATGTGCAAAATATTCATTTGTGCACAGGTATTCTGGTAATGCACAAATGTATGGACTAAAATGTTTCAATTATAGTAGATCGGGATCTATTGGGGACCTGTTTATATGATCTAGACTATCCAGAACACATGCTTGAAGCCTAATTCATGTTGCCTGTTTGGTATACAGTGCTTATTGTATATGGTGAATTTCTTGGCTTACATATAGCCAGGATTCTGGCAATGGAAACCTCATGCTTAGCTAGGCCGATAGTAGCAGGATAGGATAGAACATACTGGCAAATGTGAACAGGGCCCAATTGTGACAAGTGAGCCAGATGAAGTAAAAAAACAATAAAGTTCATATACAGGTATGTCCATAACTTTTGATACCTGAACAGCAACATTGAACAAAATCATTCTGTCCCAAAGTCATCCATCTTCCTTAAGTTTAGGACTCTGAGACCAATGAATATATTGTCATTCAAGGATTAAAAACAGTGAAGAAAAGTGTTATGGTCAAACAAACGAAAATATTCGTATCCACAGGCTGCAACACGCAATGTTGACACATTATTTTGAAGTCGACTAAGCTCAACTAAATGTCGAAATCGACGAAAAACGAGCCAAAAAACAGTTATTGAGCTAATCAATCAAATAAATACTTGGCATAAGTTTGAAGGTCCATAGTCCAAATATTTGATGAGTTTCTTTATCCCATTTATACCAACAAAATTTTAAAAATTCCCTGTATTTAGATATTCGCCATATTGATCACCATGCTGTTTGGCAAGAAATCGACATGTCAACTTGTCCCGGCCCGGAAATGTCCTGTTTACTTGTTACACAGGATATTAATAAGTTAATGTGAAAATATGAAGATAAAAGTATCTTTTAAAAAATAAAACCTCTCAAACCTCGATTTGAAAGGCTTTTAAAAACGCTAATCCGTTCGGAACCTACAAATTCGAGGGGTGGTATTTAAGCCTGCGCAAGGCAAAGTTTGAAGACCCATATCTTCGCAATCACGCAATTAATCAAAAATCGCCACGAGGAAGTTGAGGAGAATTCTTTTAAGAACAACATATATGAATTTCATGGCAAAAAAACAAAAAACCGCTTGCAGAAAAGCTCTGAAGTAACCCCATATGTTTGTTTACAAATTTCATGTGATGAAGCGTTTTACGCATTCTGATTGGCTTAGGGCAAAAATGTAAACAAAAGCGCGGATTGGTCGAGAACGGAATTCCCCCTTGTTGGGGGAAGTTATGAAATTGAAAATTTCCTTATGCTTATCACTTTTCTCTTCATAATCATTTTAATTTCTATCCTGAACATATTGTCTCCTTGTTTTCCTATAAAGATTTGTATCAATCTTGTATGCAGGACTACCGGGACGGTTGTGGCTAAAGGGGATGGACTATAGGCAGCTTTTCAAGATGGCCGCCAGTTTTAAGATCATTAAAATGCAAGAGAATCAACAACCAACTACTTGCAACAATACTAAACCTCACCCCAGACCTAACTCTAACCCCAGACCTAATCCTAACCCCACAACTCTGATACTAACGCATACTCTTATGTCAATTTTGGAACCACTTCGTAAATTACCTCTTGTCCATCCCTTTTAGACATTACCCTGCAAGGAGGGGGGGGGCATTCCACCCTGGCCTCCAGCTCAAAATGGGCTTGCCATGCAACAAAGGCCCTTAAAATATCTTGATACCAGAATTCTTAATCGAGAATATAAATCCTAGTTGCGTCAGTGATGATAATATGCAAAAAAGTGTAATATATTCACCTGAGTACATAACATCAACACACACACAAAGTACCACTTCTCCTGTTTTGCAATTATGACTTCATAAGGATGTTCTGGGAAGGCCACCTGTCTCGATTAGCCCTTATGGTTATTACAGGTGGCCTTCACTCTCATTTGTAATTTTTTATCTATAACAGAATGTATTTGAATCTTTTTGAGTGTAAATAAACTATTGTTATTATTGTTGTTATTATTATTATTATTATTATTGGGCTCAGCAAAGCCTCTCAGCAGCTCAGATGATAAAGTTGGCAGACTCTCTTGCGAGGATGCAACAATGATTGGAATGAAATATCAACATTACCCTAGAAAACTACAGATAGATGTAAACCAATAGATTTCATTTTAGTTTTATGGAACTTTTCTAAACTTTTGTAGGGTCAGCAATTTTATAGAATATAAAATGAGTTGGGATAGCTATATTGATAACTTGGTTGCTCAAACAAAAGATTCAGCTGGAACAGAACATGCAGATAAGGCTTGTATAATTGGTTTAGATGGTGGAGCTCCATGGACAACTGCAGCACATGCCAAGGCATTAAAGGTTTGTAAAAATTAATTTGGAAAGCAGTGTTAACCCATTGAGTGGCAGGACTCTCCCAGACGAGTAAAATTTCTGGTGTTAGACAGCGTAAAATAGTAAAGGGTTGCATTTGCCAACTTAAAGGTTTAAAAACATAATGCAGAGACTAGAATAAGATTAAAGCCCCGTTTACACGAGCAAATTTTATTTGACAAATTTCATATGTCATAGATATTTTGCTTGTGTAGATGATAAATTTGTGACAAATTTATTGTGACAAATACATTTGACCAAATGCATTTGATCAAATGCATTTGATCAAATGAAATTTGTCAAATAAAATTTGCTCGTGTAAACAGGGCTTAAATACTTCAACTAGAATAAGACTAAATAATAAGTGAGCATTGCAAATACACAATCCAGTTGTGCATTTTGAGATCAGTGTGCATAGCAAATACACAGGCCAGTTCTACATTTTGAGATCAGTGTGCATAGCAAATACATAAGCAGTCCTAAATTTTGAGATCAGTGGGCATAGCAATACATAATCCAGGCTTCAGTCCAGTATTAAATTTTGAGATCAGTGGGCATAGCAAATACACTATCCAGTCCTACATTTTGAGATCAGTGGGCATAGCAAATACACAGTCCAGTCATAGTTTTGTGATTTTAAAATGCACTACCATGTACCAATCCGAATTTTGATATCTGTGCCTAATACCAACTGTTTTACTAGGATAAGAAGTATTTACCATTGTAAAAACATTTTATAAGTAGTTTTTTAAAACAATTTTTTGATTTCTTTATGATCTTGTCCAGCTCACAGGAAGTGAAGGTCAAAATATTGCAAGAGCCTTGAAAAGCAAGGATTTCACACCCTTCCAAGCCGGTGGCATTCTTTGCGAAGGTGTAAAATACCAATTCTTAAGGGAAGAAGATGGCAAAATAGTCTTTGGAAAGAAGAAAGACAAAGGAGCATTAACCATGCAATGCAGCAAGACTGCTGTCGTAATCGGCCACACTGCTGAAGGTTGTCAACAAGGAAACACAAATAAAGGAGTAGGTGTGATCGCTGATTACTTAGAAAGTTTGGGAATGTGATATTTCTTCAAAACACTTTGAACATAGTATTGTTATTGAGTTTGATTCTTTTCACTAAAGACTGACAATTTCTAATGGTTTTGCTCACTATATTTTTTCTAGTATTATCTGCAAATGTATAAAATTGGACTTCATATAATTCCCCACATAATAGCTCTCCAAAAAAATTTAGGCTTCGGCTTGATGTTTTATTTTTAATTCACCAGAACAAAATGGCTTTTGCAAGGATTCTGCTTGAAAATACACCAGCGATGTTTTAAACAAATGGTTTAATTAAGAACAGTTCATCCAAAACTGTACCTTGTAATTTTGATAAAATAAAAAATGGTTTAAAAAAGTGTTGTTGTTCTGGGTAAATTACTGTTTACACTACAAGCTTGGGTTTGCCTTAATGGTACTTGGCTAGTTAATGAAGGAAAAGGCTAGGCAGGGATCCCCAGCTCTAGGCTTGAACACTGCTTTAGTTGGAGTACTGGAGCCTTGTTCTCACAAATTGTGAGCAAATAACCGTTCTTCTTGATTTGTGTGAGCAAGACTCCCAGGCAAAGAATATAAGGTGCATAAGCTTGAAATGCCTGGGGGGGGAGGGGGGCTACCTTGTAAGATTTTGAAAAATTCTTGCAACTACTGTATTGCTAGTGAGGCGGTATGTGTAAAATTATTGGTCAGTAGTTCCCGTTGAGGTTAAAAGCATCAATTAACTTTTACAATTGATGTAGTTTTATTTGCTTCATAGATATTTGAAGTGGGGCCATCGCTATTTTGCTGCTAACTCCTGAAAACGGGTGATTAGTGATTATCTTCTATTGAATTCTATTATAGCAAAAAAATGTGAAATTTTGCATTCAATTACAAAAAATATGACTTGCATCATCAGAAAGCTTATAAAAAACTGCATATAAGACGTTTAGACAATTTTTTTATTTCTGAAATAGTGTTCGAATTATAAACTGTTAAAAACGCATTTTCAAACATCGAATAATTAATTAGGGACTTTTAGCGAGATAATGTGCCAAATTTACAGCAAAAACCATTTGAAGAATAAAAATAGGTACTCACTGCGTACATGTGGCTAGCCTATTGAGCCTGTCTAATACAGCTGGAGTTGACATTGTCATAAACATTCATCATGCACAAACATTCATTGTGATACAAAATTAATAATACAAAATAAAACATATGCAGTATCTTTCTTACAATGCCAACAAATGGCTACAATCACTCGATTTAAAAGCAATATGGTTTGTAGCAATGGTTCAGCCAACAATATTAGCGAGTCACACTTTAAGCATGTATTCAGCAACTAATGATGTCACTTTTCACTAATATGTAATTCACTAAGATTTCATTACATGCATTTCTTGTTATAAATATATTCTGGTGTCTGATTTACAAGTTATTAGCTTTTCTTAGTTCAAATTTGTGCGGATTTCTATTGTTCTCAACAGGGTTTTATTTGGGTAAGATTCTGAAAGCAAGGGGAGGGATTTGATATCTCTCCAGGGAGAAGCGGGGTTGATGAATAGAATTGAATTGGATTGGATTGATGATTAAATATACACCGGGTTTTATCTATATAAAACCCGGATTTTTGCGGGTTATATATATATAAAACCCGCATAAATCAGGTTTTATATACTTAGATAAAACCCCGTGAATATTTAATCATCAATTCAATTGAATTATATTCATCAACCCCCCTTTTCCCTATAAAGATATCAAATTCCCTCCACTTGCTTTTAGATTCTTACCCAAATAAAACCCTATTGAAAACAAATTTAGAATCTTTGCTTCGACAAACCCATAATATTGTTCGTTATAGCGCTTCTACCTTCGGCCCACTCTTTCCAAATACGATCGAACTGCCCAGATGGTGTTAGGTCTTGTGCCTACAGTATATTCGGTATACGCTCAATACGCGTGTTTCAAAACTCTTTGTTTATCTCTGTCTAGTTTGAGCACTGCAAATCCCAATGGTTCGTCATTTGCTTGCAAAAATTCTCTTTCCATAAGCCTAATTTTCATCTGATTCCGGTTGCCTGGAAGCATTTTCTTCGTCGCTACATAGGTAGTTCACGTTTCAATATCATTTTCATATGGACCCCATGGTAACAACCGTTATTCTCTTAATTCAATGCAAGTATTTTCAACAAAAAAGTAGATTTAATTGTTTTTCAATCCTTACAAATTTGAACTAAGTCAGTTAATTACCTCGAACGTCTGTTTCTTAGCGAGATACATCCCTCGGGAGCGTTGCCCTCAGAAAGCATCCCTCGGGCCTACGGCCCTCGGGATGCTTTCTTCGGGACACGCCTAACCTGAGTATCAGGCCCTCGGTATTGAAGAGAGCCTGACACAATTCGCCTCTACGGGCTTTCCACCCCCAGAATATCAGCCAATTAAAATTATTTCCGGTTGTAGCATATTTCCGGTTGTCCGCTACAGGTATGTAAATACGCAAATTTCGTTATTTGCAGTTTTATATAAATTTGAATAAATACGTTGAAAAATCGGTATGTTTTTGTCGAAATATCCACATGATGGAATTCTAAGCATAAACTATGCCTTATTCGGGGAACCATAGCTCGATGGCTTTTTCCAGGAATCTAAAGAGACAACATTCGGCGCTCTGAATAGGATTTCTTCTTCCTCGGTCCTCGTGTCATGTTAATAGTTTGTTCGAGACAGCTATTCGCTTCAACTGTAACCGGCTATTAGTAAAACACGGAGCACGGAGCACACGGAGTACGGAGCACACGGAGTACGGAGCACACGGAGTACGGAGCACACGAAGTACGGAGCAGTAGAAAAACGAAAATACTTTATAATAAAATACACTGTTTACTATTACAAATTTTTGTTATTATTAATAAAGAGTTTTCGCGAATTTACACGTTGGGGAAGTAGTAGCCTGCATGGCAGGCGGTATTTCTACGGGCAGCGAAAATTAGGGAAGCAAAGGAAATACCGTCTGCCGCAAAACTAGGGGTTTTTGAATTACCCGTCCGCTGGTGAACGGGAAAAACGGATTGGTTAGTATTTTTATGTAGTTGTCAATCAACGGCTAAATTCGGTTAAATGTTAATCATTAACCAAATGTTTTGACGTTTTGAAACTCTGCGTTTTGAAATTAGTTCACGTCAAGTCAGACCGGAAATGGAATAACATAATAAAAGAAGCAAATTAAAAGATACAAGCTGAAAAATAACACTCTAAATAGTGTTATTGATAGAGATTCGAACAAGAATATCTAACAAAGAAGATACGTCCGAAGGGACCGAAGTTATGATCGGAGAAAGGTATGGGCTAGTCTATATTTTCGTTCAGACAATTACATGCGTATTAATTTGATAATATACTATCTCGCTTGACTTTCAAAGGCCATAAATCGCAATAATGTTGACATTTTACTAAAACTATCGATAGAAATTAGGAGATATTTCTTCACTGAATCGAACAGTGGGATTTCCATATAAGGCCTATCAGTCATGTTCTGAACCAAAGATACTTGATAGATATTAATATATACGAACCTCCAAAGTATAAACAAGGGGCCGGTTGATGCAGTAATTATCAAATAACACTTAAACTCTTATATACCCGTTGAATATGTATAGTTGTAAACAAATAAAAACTATCGTTCTATAAGGGTTCAATACTTTCAGTTTGGTTGTTGACTGATGATGAATCTATAGTATAGACTTGCATGCTTTGTATTTTGAGCTTATTAAACCACCGTTTTAAGGCAGCTAAACGGCTAAACGGGCTTGGTTTATATTAACCCATAAAATAAATTCCTTGATTCTCATCACTAGACACAGTCTACACTTTGAAATGTCGAAGACAGTGGGAGATTTATTTTTTATATTTTATATTTATATAATTTATATATTAATAGTTCGTATCTCCACAAACAATGACAGAATGACTGAGTTTCTTTAAAATACAATGAAATTTCATTCAAAATTCTGTTTGTTTGAAATTGGAAGTTTAAATTGGCCCTAAAAACCCTATATAAAATATAAAAAAATTAACTGTCTTGAATTATTTTGTCGGGCGGTACATTTATATTGTATAACGAAAAATAAAACGTTTTCACGAGGATTTTAAAATTCAGTCGGGCGGTGATGAGAATCAAGGAATTTATTTTATGTTGGGACTTGGGAGCAGCTTGGGAGTGGCTAATTTTGAATATTTACTTAATTAATGCATCTATAAATAGCGTTGATGCTTCAGGGGCGGTAGTTCATTTACATCCAGTTTTGCGGCAGGCGGTATTTCCTACGTACCGCCTGCCATGCAGGCTAGGGAAGTAGGAAAATGGGGCTTTTACTGAAAAACACATATGATGCAAAACTGCCAAAAGCCATAGCATTTAAAATGGGATTGTGAAACTCGTTATCTTACATCCATCAAGCTTATGTAGTTATATTATATTCCGATTGGGCAACACATAAAGAAACACTTACTGTAGAGAACAGCCGATATATTTCGTTACCCCTGCCCAAAAATAGCCAAGTACTCATCTTTCAATGTAGCCGGGATCGACTGAACATTAAAGCTTGTCATGGAGAGAAGTGAATTTTCGGTTTATCCTTCGGCCCAGTGACCGGTGGCAGTGAGCTGTACGGCCGGCTAAGTTTAAACCGTTATAATATACAGTACATCATTACTGCTTTCATTCTTTCAATTCGTTTTGAATATTCGGAATCATTCACAATATTATAAAACTGTATAAGATGGTTGTAGAACTATAAATGCTGTAGAATGAAATAAATAAAGAAAAGTAAGTTTTCAAATCGCGGTATTTGCCGATAAATCGGTAATCGCTACAGAAAAACTGAACAAATTAAAGTAAATCACAACAAACTGCAGAAGTGAGACAATTTTTGTATTTTCACTGTATAAGACATAGTAGAACATGTACGAAATCTAAACAGAAGTGTGTGTGTATTCTATACTTTGAAACAACTAAAATTTGACAGTATTAAACTAGCTGCTTAGTTTTGAGAATTTAGATTTTAGGTATTCGTTGTACCCAGTAAATATTTTTGAGTTTTGAATTTTGATTCTCAAGCTGTTTTAATAAATGTGTATAAATCGACACTAACGCCTCAAAGGCGAAAAGGTGGGCAAGATTGTAACAATCGGTTGTAAACATGAGCAGTTTCGAGCATAAACATGATATTGAACGAGTAATTTAACGCATCTGATTGGCTACTAAATTTGGGAAGCCAGTTAAGTGCATGTACGTGTATTTGTTACAATTCCGATCAACTCTGCCAGTCTGCCGTTGTGACTGCTGAACCTATTAAAACTCCGCCCGTTTCCTTGCTGAATTTTCGGATAAATCTCATCCAAATAAAACCCTCTGTTTCTGCATTTGACGAACACTGACATGTCGCACAAAAGATCATATGCGGAAGCTGTTTCTGAAAGTACAAGGTTGGTAGAACTCACTATAACATAAACCAGTTATCTGTATTTTATATCAGAATATTATATCAGAATAAATTCTGAGGTTAAATGGAACTTTTGGATCAAGTTTTGTTTGCTTTAAGTCGAAAAAATAAGGTAAATTTTAATGTTTTTGACGAATTTATAACTAAATGCCCAAATATCGTTAATTTGTACTTTTTCTATAAATTTTATCCAAAACTATCATACTATTTTATAAAAGATGCTCATACGGTAATTTACTAAACAAAAATAAACTTGTTGAAATGAAATTTATTGAAAATGTGTTTTGGACCATAGACTTTGACTTTGCCTCTCGCTTTACCCTCGAACGTTTTTGACCCGAAATATTCTGATATAATATTCTGATATAAAATACAGATAACTGGTTTATGTTATAGTGAGTTCTACCAACTTTGTACTTTCAGAAACAGCTTCCGCATATGATCTTTTGTGCGACATGTCAGTGTTCGTCAAATGCAGAAACAGAGGGTTTTATTTGGATGAGATTTATCCGAAAATTCAGCAAGGAAACGGGCGGAGTTTTAATAGGTTCAGCAGTCACAACGGCAGACTGGCAGAGTTGATCGGAATTGTAACAAATACACGTACATGCACTTAACTGGCTTCCCGAATTTAGTAGCCAATCAGATGCGTTAAATTACTCGTTCAATATCATGTTTATGCTCGAAACTGCTCATGTTTACAACCGATTGTTACAATCTTGCCCACCTTTTCGCCTTTGAGGCGTTAGTGTCGATTTATACACATTTATTAAAACAGCTTGAGAATCAAAATTCAAAACTCAAAAATATTTACTGGGTACCTCGCTGGGTACAACGAATACCTAAAATCTAAATTCTCAAAACTAAGCAGCTAGTTTAATACTGTCAAATTTTAGTTGTTTCAAAGTATAGAATACACACACACTTCTGTTTAGATTTCGTACATGTTCTACTATGTCTTATACAGTGAAAATACAAAAATTGTCTCACTTCTGCAGTTTGTTGTGATTTACTTTAATTTGTTCAGTTTTTCTGTAGCGATTACCGATTTATCGGCAAATACCGCGATTTGAAAACTTACTTTTCTTTAAGACTTTATTTATTTCATTCTACAGCATTTATAGTTCTACAGCCATCTTATACAGTTTTATAATATTGTGAATGATTCCGAATATTCAAAACGAATTGAAAGAATGAAAGCAGTAATGATGTACTGTATATTATAACGGTTTAAACTTAGCCGGCCGTACAGCTCACTGCCACCGGGCCGAAGGATAAACCGAAAATTCACTTCTCTCCATGACAAGCTTTAATGTTCAGTCGATCCCGGCTACATTGAAAGATGAGTACTTGGCTATTTTTGGGCAGGGGTAACGAAATATATCGACTGTTCTCTACAGTAAGTGTTTCTTTATGTGTTGCCCAGTCGGAATATAATATAACTACATAAGCTTGATGGATGTAAGATAACGAGTTTCACAATCCCATTTTAAATGCTATGGCTTTTGGCAGTTTTGCATCATATGTGTTTTTCAGTAAAAGCCCCATTTTCCTACTTCCCCAACGTGTAAATTCGCGAAAACTCTTTATTAATAATAACAAAAATTTGTAATAGTAAACAGTGTATTTTATTATAAAGTATTTTCGTTTTTCTACTGCTCCGTACTTCGTGTGCTCCGTGCTCCGTGTGCTCCGTACTCCGTGTGCTCCGTGCTCCGTGTGCTCCGTACTCCGTGTGCTCCGTGTGCTCCGTGCTCCGTGCTCCGTGCTCCGTGCTCCGTGTTTTACTAATAGCCGTAAACGCCCCGTTTCAAACGTAAACAAACGCGCGAAAATGTTTGCGGTTTGTGCTTGGACGAAAATGGCTGTAAGGCACATGATCTTTATTCTGTGACAGAATCTGACAGAATATCAAGTTGCTAGTTTGTCTCAATTTAATAGCGGTGGTAGTCAGTTATTGTCTGTACTGGCAGGGTCTCCATCTGTGATCATATATTAAGATGTGTGAAAGACCCTTGCATGCAGATGAAATTTACAATATTATGTTTTTTCTATCAACTGAAGATGTTCTCAGATGTATGCAAGTTTGCAAATATTGGAAGGTGAGTACTAGTAATTTATATTTATCATAATCATGGTTAAGCAAACGACGTTTTTGACAACAAACTAACATCATACGTACCTATAAATTTAACCGCTAATTTTAATATATGGCGTCAGCAGTTTGTGCTTGAAATCAAGAATGGCAGTTGATGCAGGGCTGACGTTCATGATTGCAAATAAGAACTGCTGTCGCCATGTATTGTATAACAACTCGATTTACTTCTGGTCGGCGTTTGTGAGTCAAAAACATCACTTGCTAAGCTCTCTATCAGAGAATAGAAACCGTACAGAGATCTGACTTCTTGTCGACGCCTATGACCCAGTGTGCTTATGGAAGGTATTCACCCCCCTGAAAACACTCAAAATGGCAGATGTCCAGGGGGTGATATCAACACAGGAAGGATGTCATTATGTCAAGAATGTGTAGTGAATATTTTTTAGCTATTAACAACCTTAAAAGATGTCAAATTTCTCATCTTGAATTTTCCAGGAAACATCATATAAGCATGCCACATATCCAGTCCTCCCAATTTTGATCCTTGATTCCTCACAGGCATTAAAAAAATGATAGATAATAATTACTGCCCATGATTATTAAACACCCTTTTACTTTTAGTTCTAACTTTGTTACACAATGCCAGACAGAATTTGTTGGTAGCAACCTTAGAACAACATAGTCATGTTCCTGACTAGTTATTTTTCTTTCACTTTCTATTTTTTTTGTTATATTTTTTCAAACTTTTTATATCAAACATTTGTCAATAACAAGCAAAGTTGTGTAGCAGTTATGAAATATATGATGACACAAGCTGATTTTGTCTATACAATATTCTATTCATAATCTATAAAGTAAAAAGTCATGAAATTTATAATGCCTCAATTGACCATTTGCATAATAGACTAAATTTTGATCTAAACAAGTCTAGACAAAAATTTTATCACAGCTTGAAAGAGCATCACAAAATTAGTAATATTCCAAAGTTTCGTTGCGAAATGTTGTAAAATGTGGATAATATATAGTCTTGCGAAGTTTGCAATTTTCAGTCATTTTAGATTACAAACGGGAAATCAGACCTCTCAACTCTCACGCATTCGGCGTGAGTCTCACGCAATTCGCTTCAGTCTCACGCTCTCACGCCAGACCTCTCAATTCTCACGCATTCGGCGTGAGTCTCACGCAATTCGCTTCATTCTCACGCTCTCTCTCACGCCACGTTTAGTAAATCTAACGCATAAAAATTTTGGCATATCCGCATAGGCGTACCGGGCAAGTTTTTTGGGCAGTCGGGCAATATTCGATCAACAGTCGGGCAATTTTGGGTTGCAATAAAAGAAATGTGACAAATTCTGTAAATTTTGTCTAAACTTAAGTCCATTTTTTGGCAAATTTTGTGATTTTTCGAAAATTTTGTGTATGTTCCGAAAAATATTTGTTGTCCGGAAAATTTTTTTGACCCCTAAAATGGTACACCGACCGAAATTTTTTTGGCGACGGGGGGGGGGGAGGTCGCCGAAATAATTTTTCCGGAAAATTTTTTTTCAATCTCACGCTTAACTTCTCTGCAAAGTTGAGAGGTCTGGGAAATTGAAGTTGGGCTGTCAATTTCCCGTTTGTAATCTAAAATGACTGAAAATTGCAAACTTCGCAAGGCTATATTATCCGCATTTTACAACATTTCGCAACGAAACTTTGGAATATTACTAATTTTGTGATGCTCTTTCAAGCTGTGATCAAATTTTTGTCTAGATCAAAATTTAGTCTATTACGCAAGTGGTCAATTCAACAGGTAGTATTGTTCGGCAGTCTCTCTAGAGACGTTTTCTTTTTTCAACGGTGTCCCTTGTTAACCGTCTATTTCAATTGAAGCCCTTTAGTATGCTGAAACTGATTATAAAGTGAATATTAAACCTAAAGTATATAGCATACCTAATTTTAGTGTGCAGTGATAACTAATTTGTGCAGTGATAAAATGTAAATTGTGGAGCGATAAAATTTGCTGTGATAAGTTGTTAATGAAAATGAGGCAACTAAAAATTTGTTTTGTCACACTTGACACAGTTGACAGTATTGAGCAAAACATTTTGAATTAGAATGATTTGAATGACATTGAAATGATAACTGCCAAATTATTGAACAACTGCACTAATATTATACATAAGGTTCATCAGATGAATAAAGTCTCCCACCAAAGATCTCTTTATGAGCTTGGAAAATGGAGTGAATGATCTTAACTTTTTGTAATTTGTGTTTGCGAGACTAAAGAAAATCTCTTGACTCTTCAGAGCTCTTTATTCAAACGAGAAAGACGAGGAAATAGCCAACAAATATCGCTTTACAGTATGAAATGTACAGTCACTGGCTTTGTTCACATGTCTGGCACAACGGTGCAAACTCGTGTATCTTCAGAATTCTATAGAATGTTCCGCACATTCCAAGAAATACCCTTTTAGAGAGCCTTAGGATTACAAACTGTTCTTTGGGTGCATGCCCCTGGAATTCCTCTGGAGATTTGTCATGCCTAAGCGAGGGGGCAATGTGTCCTCAGCGCCCCAGTTAAAAGGGGCCCAAATAAAGAATTATAATGGAGTATGCATACTGATTAGATAAAACTGTCAACAAGCTTCTAGAATGCAGGATTTGGCCAAATTTCAGAATTTCCTCGGAGCCCCTATTTTTTAAACAAATATTAATTGTAGCCTGTTTGGTGGTTACACGTAAGGGTGTGTTCAGAAATTTTCAGGACGTGCTTCTGCTCGGCTGAACTTTCCAGAAAAATGTGCAGTGATAAAAAAATCTTAAAATTAGCTATCATACAGACAAGACAAGACAAGACAAGACAAGACAAGACAAGACAAGACAAGACAATTTATTCAGCACCGTTAATAATACAATACATAAATATAAAATTAAGATAAAGTTACAAAAAGAAGGTACTAGCTAACTGTAATAACCAAAAGGCTAAACAAGACAGTTAGCGAATTTGATTAGTGACAAATATATTTTAGTGGGTAAACTGAACAAATAAAACACATGCAACAAAGATTTCAAAATGGACGATTTTGATGCTATAAGCTAATATGAATTCAATAGATTATTTTTAAGTTTGTTTTTAAACTGAGATTTAGAAAGACCCTTTAGATTGAATTCCACACATTCCATTTATTCCAATATTATTTAAACACCTTTGAAAATTTTGGCGAGCCTCATACATTTTAAAGCAGTTACTTTTATAATTTCTTGCCACAAAATACAGATTCCTTTCAAAATTGTAACACAGAAAGTACCAATTTTAGAAGGCTCCTCCACCAACCAGATTCTTGCCATCCAGATTGTAGGTGACACGTGACCAGCCCCCAGCCCGGTTTTTTTCTCCAGCATGGTAGGAGCGTAGAGGGGAGAGCCTTGGAACGAAGTTGACACGACACGATGCTTTTGTCAGTTGACGATGATTGAAATAAACATGACATCATCTTTGATGCATTGACGGTTATTCAAGCTATCAAGAGGCATAAAGAGTGGAGAGCCTGACGCGATATATTCATATCAGACTTTGGGCGTTAAAACGAGGAACTTTGATGATCAGAATGAAACTCATGATCAATCATATGATCTCCATTGCCTTGATCCAACAGCATCATTGTGATCTTCTTTTGAAATGGCCAGGTTTAAAGAGCGTCGTAGTCGCCTCTCATCACGACAAAAACAAACCATCTCCATTCATAAACCATCTCCAAACAAACCATCTCAATTCCAAACCATCTCCATTCATAAAAATTTTAGCACAAATCTTTATTCCAAACTGAGCGCTGAGTCTTCACCCCATTAATAGCATCTTGCAGTTTTCTCTGGTAGCTTTCAATCTTCCAAAGTAGAGTACCATTATAACTATGACTAGTTTAATTGTTTTTGTTTGTGGAAACACCACGTAAATTTATTACTGCAAAGCTTTCGATCCGTAAGCCCGGATCTTCATCAGTGCTAATAATATGAAAATAATAATAATAAAAATTGAAAATAATAATAATATAAATTTACGTGGTGTTTCCACAAACAAAAACAATTATATTTTATCGCCATGCAAACATTCAAAGAACTTATGACTAGTTTGTTGTGCACGTGGACCTCTTTGACTTTGGGACTCCAAATCGGTAATCAGTGTTAACCGAGAAAATCAAAGCTAAAGTATGTGGTAAATGAACATGATTTTTTATCACACATTAGACCACCGACATGATAGTGATTTCCTTTGTCGTTTCCTCGTGAATTATTAATGCGTTTTTTAAATGCCGTAAAGAATTAGATCGTCAGTCACATACCTGTATTAAGCACATTAACCGAGAAGTTGTTTAATAGGTTTTCTTACAGAGCCAGTACCAAATTCACTGCATTGCAGTTGAACATATTGAGTTTGCCTGAAGCTCGAATTGATAATTTAAATTTAATTCAACAAATTTATTTGGATCATCGCCTCTGGATTTTCTTGATGTAATTAGTGGTCTATTGTATTGTTGGTCTAATGTATTCTTATATTTGTACAATATATCACATATATATTGATATATGTAATATATTGTACAAATATAAGAATACCGCATTAGACCTACAATACAATAGACCACTAATTACATCAAAAAAATCCAGAGGCGCCGGACGCAACGTGAGGCGGCGAGGGCTTGCGGGGGCAGCCATTTGACAACTTACTTCTCAGCCTTAATTTTTGTGGGCGGCAATGTTTGTTACAATATGCCTTACAGATACTTGATTATATGTGGCCTATATTTTTATTCGTTGCATGACGCTAAAGACTAAAATGTGTTGTATGTGAGAGTTGGTCAATTGTTTAGGAAGGTTTTCTTTTTGACTTTTTTTCATAAAGCGGGAAGTGTAGTTTTTGTAAGGAAAAGGCAACCTGCTGCCTCCGTACTGCCCCTGCACTGTTTGGCCAGCGGGGGCTCCGGCGCCCCCTGAGAAAGCCTATCAGAGGAAGATCCAAAATGGCAAGGCACGAACAGGACTTTTACCGACTACCGTCAAGTTAGAAATTATTGAGAGCGATTTGAATACATTAATATTAGCAGTGGGAGGAAGTAAGGAGAGAAAGTCAGGAAGCACGCAGACAGAAGGAGATACACAGACAAACAGAAGATATAGAAGAACAGGTAATTAACTAGCAGACAGATAGTTGCATACAAACCTTGAAAGTTAGATGATATACATATCATACACAAAAAGACAGACAAATCCACGAAAACAAGGCTTGCTTATTCTCTGTGGCATGGACAGTCCCGCACCAATTGCAAGGACCACAACACAAGATAATTCAACGCCCGTACATCATACTGGATTTGATTTAAATGTCAGGGGCCGGTTGTATAAAACTCTTTTTAAAATCACTTTTTTAATCACTATTTTGTAGTTAAATAGTAATTAACTCTCAAATACGCGCTTCTTATTGGATGACGTTTCCACTAACTATAATTAACTTGAGGTAATTCCGCAGTTTTGCATTGCGCACTTTTACTGCGCACATCTTATAACTTATAATCATTTTATGACAATTTTATGTTACTTCAAAACATATTTGGTTACATTCATGCAAAGAATTACGCTAAAATCAATGTTTTCAAAAAAGGCATACAAAAATGTAGCTAGGGTTCACTGTGTCTGTAGTATATTTATTTACTTGTATTTCACGTTTTAATGCCACAATTCCCTAAAAAGATCGGTGACCCCCGTTTTTTAACTGATAATTTATTTCTTTAATGCATTTTACATTTCATATCCGAAATTAAAAGAAAAATCATTTCTGGATCTTGAAAAAAAATCCTTTATGACCCTTTATCAATGCATGTTCTCAAAGAAAAATGTGTAAAGAAATGTGGAAAAGACATTTGTGGATCAGAATTGTACACGTTGGTAGTACCATTTTGCTCAAAACACAATATTTTTTCAAAAATAATTACAAGATAGGTTTATTAAAGCAAAATCCGCGCTAAAAACGTCAATAAATATCCGGCTGTTGTGATTTTGCTGTTACTCGTAATGAGCGTCAAGATGGCGCCATGTTGGGATAAAGGTGGTATTTTGTGATTGTCATATCTTCTTAACGAGTTCGGTGACCCCGACTTTTTTGTGTGATTTTACTTTAAGTATATCATAAACTCCATGCCTGGGAAGTTTCAGCACATTCTCATTTCGGGAACAATTACTGCGGAATTACCTTAATTAATCACTTTTTTATACAACCGGCCCCAGAAGACATTATTTCCACAACGCTTGATGTCAATAATCGCCCTCTAAGCAGTATTATATTTAGCCGCTTTGTCTTTGGGCCTAAAAGAGTTGTTAATATTTATATAGACAATCCTATTGGAACAGATATTTTGGAGGAAACATATTAGGAAACGTTTTGATTTAAAAGCAGTAACAAAGAAAGAAGAACTGGAAGGCCCCTTGTACCAGTGGTCGGACTCTACAATTTGGTAAGATAAATTATTGCCGTGCGTGTGAGGTATGACATTGCTGCCATCAGTGGTGCCGCCAGCTCGATTATTGGGGGGGGGCGAATATTCATATATTCGTGTTCATATACCATAAAAACAATCGATTTCAAAAGAAGTTAATAATGCATAACACGCAGATATGAATATTTGCCCC